ATCTAGCCTAGATGTCATTTACACATGCCTTAAAGTTAAAGTATTGTGTTGAGGATATGGCTGAATGAGTTTCATCTGTATATACTCTAAGAAAGGTTGTTTATTAACACAAAGTTTTTGTTTATGCCTGGAGGAAGAGCAGAAATTAAGTTTACGGCATGTCATCAGCTGAAGTACCATGTAAATAAACATGCAAGGAGTGCATGTCTATTTCAGGGAAAGGCTGGGTAATTGTTTACAAAGGGACAGCACCCCTCTGAGACAGCTTCTAGTACTCCAGCCAGCATACTTTGCGGCACTCCTGGGAATCCACAAACATAGGCATATGAACTAAAAACCTTCGTAATCTGGGGGGGGGAGGTGAAGCCACTGACCCCCACCCAGTTGCCTTATTTCCCTAGCTGGGGCTCAACCCTAGGACTCCCTCCTGATCACCATGGACATAGTCACTGTGCGGTATTTGCCATGGCCTATTTTCTTCAAGTCTGATTTTATTTTTTGTTTCCTATAGCAGTGAGTTTTCTTTATTTATGAATGCGTGTTTTAATTTCCCTATCTTAGAGCCACTGTAATGTGGTATTTCAGTGATTATGTTAATTTTCACTGTCTGAATTTGGATACGTTTGGTGTTCCCTAGATACCCATATTTCCTGCAAAAAATTGAATTTATCCTGGTAATTATATGTGCCCCTGTTCTATACATATTCCAAACTTATTCAGTGATAGATGTCCTTTGATCTTAAACGGTCATGGCCTGTAGGCAGTATTTTGTAGGCAAATGTCCTCTGATTTCAGTCATATATTTTGGCTGTTGAAGTTTGTAAATCTCAGTAGCAGTATATTGTCAAATATGGAACCAGCTGAAGCATTTTCATGATAGATAGATATGCATGTTAGAGGTTTGTTATCTTGTGTTGAGATCAGAAGATGTGTAGATCACAGTGATTGCTCAAGTCACTGCAGGTGTTATGTAACTTTTATGAAAGATTTTATTGCATTTATATTGCAGTGATTAAGCCAAAAGCAAAGGGTTACATCTTCAATGAAGTCTAACAAGGACAGCATACATTAGTTCTTGCTGCTTTGCTTGCAGTTGGGTGCATGAACCTCATCCCAGTGGGACATGAGCTTGTGTCATACAAGGCATCACTGAGTGTATATGGTTATTGGCCATGATGTGATAGGTTGTCACCCATCGTTAAAGGATTAATAAGCAAATTTTTATATTGGTATTTCTTGTAATTATAGTTGGAAAGCTAGAAAAATGGTGCTGTAACTACCAAAAATAATGGTGAAATTATAAGTATAACTAAAAAGTACTGGGTGGTACTTTCATGGGGTACCTCTGTCTGTTGGTAATATTTCTGGTTGTTTTAGAATGGTTTTCCTTGCTATTTTATTATTGAAAAAAAAATCAAATATATATGCTTCCTAATTTAAATGAGGACTTTTTTTACTTTCCGAAGACTGGTGGTAATTGCTAACTATTTTTTTTATTTTAAGTTTGTAACATATAGTAGAGTTATTTGTGTTGTGTAAGATTAGAAGGATATATAAGGTTTCTGGTATAAGAACTAGTAAGAATATTAGTGCAGTCCTTGGTGTTAAGTTATGTTGGTTTGTTAGTTTTGGTCTTTGGAATTAGATTGGATTAGAAATAGAAAACTGGTTGTTGTCCCTGGTGTGGATTGCCATGTTTGTGATGATGTTAATGGTAGTTCTCAGTGTTTGGTTGAATTTTAATGCTATATGTTCTTGTTTAAGTTTAGAGTTTTGATTGTATTGCTTGACATTAGCTGGGTTTGATGAGAAGCTAAATGTCATATTTACTATTAATGTAGAATTTGAGGAAGTAAACTAGGGTATTTGTCCAGAATTTGACTGTGAAGTGATGCACCCTCCATGCTTCATACTCGGGCAAAGACCAATAAACTGTCCCACATGTGCTTGGCAAGGTGGAGCTCTAAATGCTTCCTTATTTGATGATGGATCGCCATGGAGGTCGACAAGATCTATCTTCCTGGAATGTACCGGTACGCTGTGGAAGTTTGTTTGCCTTTGCTGGAGCATGACGTGTGGAGGCCATTGGATTGCACAACATGGGTATACATGAGTTGATTCTTTCCTTTTTGCTGGTTGGATTAAATTCCTAAGGGTGCTATTGTTTTTCATCCAAATTAAATATTTGACATATTTTAAAATCCTTTTTATGCAATGTCATGAGTTGGTTGTTTAGGAGTTATAGCAACTTTTGGGTATTGAAGAAACTCCATGGCAGAAAATACCAGGAATGGGTCTTTTTCATATTATGTTTTATCTGTTCATTCATACCATTGTATTGCACAAAAGCAGTGAGTCAGTATCCTTTGCCAAAGAACAGGCATTTCCACTTTTAAAGTTTCTGTTTTAGAATTTGTAGAATTAGGTCATTTGTGTTTCTTTGTATCAACGAATTTAGATTGTCAGTTGTAATCTTTTGTATTAGGTCGTGTAAGAATAG